GAAAAAACGAAAACTAAGGTAAGGGGAAAAAAGGAAACGTCCTAAAACGTAACGTAAAAATAAAGGCCCCGTTAACCTTTACTAAGACACTCGATACCAACCTACTCTTCCCTACCCTCCCTAACCCCCCCCCAACCCCCCCCCCCCCCTAACCAAAAAAAAAAAGCCCACCTAGGCAAATCCTCATCTTCAGCATCCAGCCACTCCAAAAGCCAGCAACCACAATAATCAAAACTGTTCTTGATATAAAAACATAGACGGAGTCGGGGGAGAGGAGAATGAAGTGATTGCATTAGACACATTACCCATGGAACAAGTGGTAAGTCAATTCTACCAGCTCCTGAAAGTTATATAATAAAAATTCCTCCCACACAATCCAGACTATATACACTCATGTTCCGGAGAGGTGACAGAGGTACAGCACAAGATGGGCAAGCTCTCAGCAGATTCGGTAGTTTACAAATGCCTCGAAAGGGTACAAGTGTTCGCCAAGTCACTCCTGCAATGTCCTATTCAAGGCTGTTAGTGCAAATAAGTAGCTGTGATAAACCAGACAAAATCAAGTTAGAAGAATCTTATGCAACCTCAGGTGATGTAACATTTCAACCAATGAAATTACTGTGCTACATATTTTGCTTCTCTCGCAAATCAGTACAACGGAAGCAAGCCCTGAAATGATCTCTCTTCAGGAACCATATCTACCCCCAGTTTGCAAGGCAAACTCACGTTAACTTTGTAGCACAAAGCAGTGGCATGAGGACCAAATAAGCAATTACATCCACAAGAAGGATCTTGTCACCTTGTTCATACATTCTTAGCTACAGCCAAGTCGAAACCTTTAGGGAGATGTTTTCCAGTCAAACTGAAGGTTATTGAAACCATTGACTGCTCCTAGACCACTAAGTAGTTGGTTTCCCAAATCTTGTTGCTGTTGACTCATACTTTGCTCTCGTGACATTGGCATGCCTACTCTTCCATTCATAGCCACGGAATTATTACCTAATGCAGCCCGAATTCCATTGGCCATTGCAGCCTGGCTCAGTCCGTTGCCCATGTTGCCATATCCTGGACCCATACCTATATTAGCATTTGCTGTCCCATTCCCAACAAGGCAGCTGCTTCCATTAAGAATGGAATTATTAGCAGTTGCTATCATACCATTTACACTTTTAATATCATTCCCCATGGTACCACCACCTACAAGGCCACCTCCACCAAGTTGGGAAGACATCATCATATCATGTATGATCTTTTGTACAGAACTTTGAGAGTCATTAGCATCAATATCACCTGAAAGAGTGGGTTGATGAACTGAAATATTCGGGGAATTGGCAGAATTCACATGTGGTCCTGATGATATGCCACCATGAGAAGTTTGTGGTGGATTGCTTGAAGAACACGGTGTTGGGGATTGGAACGTAGACGGGTTTGGTTGAGATTGTGGCATTGTATTTGAAGAACTTGGTGAGGGCATTTGAACAGCATTTCCCGCATACGGGCTATTCACACCATTTCCTGCATAAGGGCTGTTCACACCATTCATCGGGGTCTGTTGCCTAGAGTTCATGGAATTTTGATGCAATAGCCGAACAACAGAACTACTAGACGAAGTAACAGATGCTGGGTTCAAAGAGTTGTTTACACTTGGAATCCCATTACTGGAAGCAAGTTGCATTGCACCAGCCTGAACAGAGCTGTCGTGGTTTGAGTTCTGACTGGCCGTCTGTTGTTGCTGTTGCTGCTGCTGAGAATTTAACTGTGGCTGCTGCTGCTGAGAATTTAACTGTGGCTGCTGCTGAGACTGATCCTCAGATGGTTGAGCTGGATCATGTACCCCAACCGATGAACCATTCCTACGAGGAAACTTGGCCAAGCTCTCTGGAAAGGCAAATTTCAACCACAAATTGTAAGGTTTAAAGAACTGTATCAATCCCAACATTCATGCGGTACTCTCAGGGTTAAGTTCTTACACTACACAACCCACTACTTTATATTCGAGAAGCTCTTTTTTTTTTTTTTTTTTTTTTGAATCAGTATTTTACCCCCGACAACTTAAAGGCACATAGAATGAAACCTGCATTCAAACACAGCTAGTTTGGGTTTTTTCACCTGTACATTAGTAGTAACCAGTTGCCACCTTAAAAAGCAATTCATCGTCTTTAGTGAAAATTTAACTTTAGATGATAACATTTATGCCTTGTGATGAAAACCGATCGTATCCTAATCTCTAAACCATTAAACCGCAGAGAAAGATTAGCCCATGCAACCTCACTTTGATCTTTGAGATTAATAGGTAGGTACAGAAAACCTTGAGCTAGCATCAGGAACAAGTAGAAAGGTACACAAGCAGACTTACCCATAGGCCCTGTCCTTGTCTCTCTGCTGTAGTCAATCAAATCTTTCATGCTATTAACAACTTCTGATATCTGCAATTGCACCAGCAGTACATAGCAGAATAAGAAATTATATCCCATGAGACTATTAATTGAAAGGAAGATTAAAACAAAATCAGAAGAATTATCATTTGAATGCACCACGTGTGCAATTTTCAGTCAGTTTATCTTTATACTGAAAATGTCATTGGAAAAAAGTCTAGGCCTACGTGAAAAACACTTGGAAAGTAAAAAGAAGGGGGGAAATCGCTGAACCGGAAGTTATCTTATACCACTAGACCCTTTATGACACAATCAAATAAAATTTCTCAACAGGAACAGAGTTACATCAGAAATCTCTATCCCAAGAATAGGCCAAATTACATTATGTCTACTTCACACATTAACTCATGAGTCAGAGTTACCAGTACGAATTTCCAGTATTGAGAAAAGAAAAATAGTCAACATCCCTGAGCTGCTACATGCTAGAAATCTGAATTTTGACCTTTCAGCTTTTGCTTTGAATTCCACGGGAAGACATCCACATTGATACAAGCGGAATATCTCCAAACAAAATCCAAAAAAGGGCCAAAATAAAAACCTTCCAGCATCAGAACAAGGTGCATACCTGAAGGCATCGCACATATCTCTTTGTATACCCTAGATCATTTACCAATGGAACTTCCAAAGCTTTTGCCAACTGACGAGCTGAGGCAACAAACCTGAATCAAAATCATAAGTCAAATCTCAAAACTCATATTACTTAAAAACAAAAGCTATATAAAAAGTACATGATCATTAGCAAATACACAAGCATAAAACAATTTTCTAGAATACAAGAATATGTACACATAATTTTACACCTTATATATAGATTGCTTTTTAATTACGATTGAAGGTGCTAAAGGGGAGTCGACTTAAAATCATATGGCGAGGAGTTGTTGCCAAAAGATTACTATTTCTCGAGTCAATGCTGACTTAACTAGGACAGAACATACTGAAAGCAAATTATCCAAATAGGTGACTCTGACGAGTTAGGATTATAGCGTAGGTATTATTATTACACTCACATTAATTCTGATGTTTGCCAGTAATCTTTTAGTCTAGTTAGAGATAGGTATTCCAATACAAGAAAAATTGTGAGTAAATAACCTCAAGATTTAGAGAAATACTAATTTGCATTAAAAGAAAATTATTTATAAGCAAAGCAGTACTGGATAATTAATAGAGTTGAATGGTTACAGAGGATTTGGATTCGTTAGACTAAGCCAACCTTCCTTTTGGGATTAGGTCATAGTTGTTAATAGATTGACATAAAAGGGTATGCATGTATATACCTTCCCATCATTCTTCCCCTTCTCCCACTATTACATATAGCTCCCAAATATATGTTTCCCCCTAAGTTGCTCGGACTCGGGTGCGGGCATCCGGTACAGGCACGG